GCCAAGGTATTCCAGGGAAGCTCGACAATGATGTTGACCAACACGAACACATACCATGAGTACGCCCTAGAGGCGCGTTCTCTCGCCTCGTATTGCTCGCGTTGCAGGATGAAGTTGGGCATCGTCTGGTAAACGAGGAAGGCAAAGACCACCAACAACATGAAGATGGAGAACATCTGACTCTGGAGTCCTTGCATTGTGAGCGGTGAGTTGTAGAAGGACACACCGATGAATAAGCTCTGTGCAAAGTGTCAGTTGAAGATCCATTAGGTCGTTGACCACTAAGTATTGAGACGTACCGTGCCACCAGATAAAATCAACTTGGAGTAAATGTACGAAGGCGTGCGCCAGTACTGTTGAAAAACACGTTCAGTGCACAAGGCAAGCTGAACATGAAACGGCGCAGCATAAGTTGACATCTCATCGGGACTGGACGTCGAGCCATTCGCCACCTGGCCCTGCTCCAGACGCTCGAGCTCGCGGCGCATCTCGGCACACTCATGGCTCTCCTTCCAGGTCTCGGGCCAATCCCTCTCAGCCTTGGCGCCCGGAGCAGCGCCGATAACTTTGAGCATCCACTCGGCGGGGTTCTCGTCCTGTCCGCAGGTCATTGCTCCGTACTGCTCAAAGTAGCTCGTGAGCACGCGGGAGTTCTCGCCAATGTCGCCAAAGTAGACTGTTTTACCGCCGTGTGCGAGGAGAAGAAGACGATCGAATTGCTGGAATAGGAGTGCAGAAGGCTGGTGGATTGTCACGAGGATGGCCTGGCCGTTTTCCGAGAGCTTTCGGATCAGTGATGAGATTGACCATGCTGTCTGACTGTCGAGGCCCGAGGTCGGTTCGTCAAGGAAGAGAAGGAGGTCAGGTTTCGCAGCGAGCTCGACGCCGATAGTCAGTCGTTTTCTCTGCTCAACGTTTAGGCCTGTGGTAGCACGGATTAGCTTACCAATCTTTGAGGATGAGGTGCAAAGACCAGTTAAGGACTTACCTTCTCCGGGTACTCCGACAATGGCATCGGCATAGGCCTCCATCTCCAGAAGTCCAATCACCTCTTCAACGCAGTCGTACTTCTCTTGCTTGCTGGTAGCAGCTGGCTGGCGTAGCATGGCGCTGAATCGCAAGGCTTCCCTTACAGTAGATGTCTCGAGGTGGATGTCTTGTTGCTGAACGTATCCGGCCTTTCGCTGGAACGACTGGTCTCTGGGAATGCCGTTGACGAGAATATCTCCAGTCACAACACCCATAGTCACTCTGTTAGCCAGGACATCGAGAAGAGTAGTCTTGCCAGCGCCAGTAGAGCCCTGAACCGATCATCAGTATGAATAATTTCGTAGAATGGAGGTAGACTTACCATCAAAGCAGTCAGAGTTCCCGGCTTGACCCAACCGCTAGCTTTGTCAAGAATTCTGCGGTTGTTGCCCTTGATCGATATGTCATAGCAAACATCTTTCCAGTGGAATACCGATTGGCTTTTGTGAATTGCAGATTGTTTGACACTCGACTGAGTAGCATGCCCCTCGGACTTCTCATGTTGGTAAATGCGTTCAGGTTGGCCAGTCTCTTCGTCGGATGAGTTCTTTGATAGTGTCGGCGCCGAGTGACCGCGCCGGAAGATCAACACCTCGCCCTTGGAGCGGTCTGTGGTGATGTACTCCGCCGCGAGCAAGTAAACGCACATGAAGAAGATTTTGAAGGCAATCAAAATGCCAAAGTTCCTGAGCGACACGTTAAACTTATTTACGAAGCGACTTTCACAAAACGAGAACATACCTCCAAATGTGAGACTTGTAGTAGCTGAAGGTGGCATTCATGTAGAAGTCACCGTCAACGAAGTCCGCGCCAGGTGCAGCGCCAGCGACCGAGCACGTCCTCTCGTTTGGCGCAGCGTTCGGGTAGGCCGGAACGAATGAGGGACAGGGGAACTGCCGACCGTTGAACTCATTGGCGACCAGACTCTCGAAAGCGTAGGCGATGGGATTGATGTAGTTGATCCAGCGGAGCCATCCCTTCATATCGCGGGTCGGAAGGATGAAGCCGGTGTAGATGACGAGTGATAAGATGAAGATAGCGGCTGGCGTCAAGGCTTGGTGGATGGTACGGGACGTCTGGCCGATGGTTCTGATGATCATGGACATTGAAAGTGTAGTGGTGAAGCCGAACAGGAGGAAGATGAAAAAGGCATCGGCCTCTTGGCGGAGCCTTGCCATGAAGTATAGAGGAATATTGAAGGCCAAGGTAGATAGAATCTTACTGGGAAGATCGCAGATCGTGGAGGAGATTGCTTCGGAGGCGGGATGGTACAGGGCATAGCGAGCGTGCTTTTCGACAATGGGTCTCTGGACGTACAGTGTGAGGATCTGATGATCTCCTTATTAGTAAATTTCTCTCGTCGTGGGATTACTTAGAAGAAAATCCGAATCATACCTCAAGAGCACTGCTGAGACCGTTGAACAAAATCGCAAAGAACAACAGAATGCAACGAGAGTTCATACTCGATGCATCAGAGGGCAGGTCGAAGAAGATGCTTCCAAGGACTAAAGAAATGACCAAGTTCCCACCAACCGTGACAACGAAGAAGAGCCAGTCGCCCAAGAGACGCTGGTACCCACGCGTCATGCAGAGCCAGATTTGCATGGGCATGGAGATGGTGTAAGGTGATTGCGGAGTCCTTCTCAACTGTTAGCAGGCGATTATGCCACGATGTCCTGCCTTCACTGCCACTTACACAAGAGATGCTTTGTGAGCCTGGCGGGTGGCGACAAACTTGTCTACCCCTGAGCCATCGAGAGGATGTTCCTCCTCAAAGGCAAATATCTCCTCCATTAGACGTGCCCTGACATCGCTTCCCTTCCATACGGTCGCAAATTCGTCTGGCGTTCTGGGAACTCTGTTCTCAAATCCTTCTCGTACCAGTCGTTCTGCGGGATTCGTGAGGGAAGTGAGGAAATCAGCGGTGGTTTGGCGGTCGGGGCAGCGGTAGCCCATGTCGACAAAGTATTGCTTCGCCAGGGCCGTGGAGCCAAAGTAGATCTGGCGACCTTCATAAAGCACCGCGACCTTATCGAATACCTAGACAAGTGTAAGTCAACAACGATATAAGCCAGGTTCGGGAGGTGGTACTGACATCATACGCCGGCTGCGAGGCCTGATACATCGCGACAATGGCCGAAGTTTTGGCCATATCAGTAGACAACCGCAGAGTCCGAGCAAACTCCAACGCGGTAGCACTGTCCAATCCGCGAGTGCTGTTGTCCCAGCATTGTATAGGGCTCTGGCTGAGCGTAACCTCCGCAATACTGACGCGCTTGCGCTCGCCTCCGCTGACACCTGTGGAGAGTTAGTGGAGGTTTTTTCAAAGCTGATAAAGGCTTGAGCCACTTACCACGGACGAAGTCGTTTCCGACCTTTGTGTTGATGGTGTGGGAGATGCCGAAAACTGCCATCACGACGTCCCGCAAGTGTTCGGCGTATCTCTGCCTGCTGACGCCAGGGAGTCGATTCTTTGGCGTTCTTGCCAGTGAGGCGAAAAGAAGCGTCTGCCCAACCGTGAGGTGGGGGAAGTGGATGTCTGTTTCGGCCTGGTAAATCACTTCACCGCGGAATCGTTTATGCATAGTTTCCATTGGTATGCCTGTTTAGGATGAATGTTGTCAGTCAGCTTTCGTGAGAACCAGCATATAACACCCCCAACAGAGTTGAGTAGGCATTGTCACTAACCCTGGTAACTGAAGTGTGAATGATCCCCCAGATGAAGACCCTGGGTCTCACCGGCGATCGTCTTGAGCAAGGTAGAAACACCACTGCCGGGACGGCCCAGCACCAAGAGCATCTCACCACTCTTAATGATTCCGTCGAACTCCCTCAAGATGTCAATCTTTTGACGACGGTTGCTAAGACCCTGCTTGATCATCATTGGCGCTTGCCAGAGAACGTTAAGAACATCCTTCTGGTAGTCCGTGTCGGTGCCGTACCCATGAACACTCAGGTTGCGATACGCGACTCCAGCTTCAAGTCTTGGGTAGTCCTCGGGATGATGATATGAGTGCTGTAGAAGGGCTCGGGCCCATTTCTTGGCGTTGAACTCTTCGCGACAGCTTGGGTCCAGGGCAGGGTGGTCCGATAGGAACGGGTTGATACCAGGGTCGAGTCTTGACGCTGAGCGGATAAGATCGAGACTGTAAGGCCTGACTAGCTCGTTGACGTGGGCATCGTTGGCTTCAATGTCCATGTCATTCCTCTGGTGGTCGTGTTCCTGAATGGCTTTGGCGTGCAAGGTGTCATCCGACGGTTTGGACATGACGTTGCCGCTGTCACCCTGCGGGCGATGCATCTTGTGAGTTGATTTGATAACTGCGCAACGTGCAGATAAGAAAGAAGCTGAAGATCGCAGAAGAGAGGAGGCTCAAGCAATGTCACCCAACGGGGATCACAGGCAAGTTATATCCTAAGAAGCTTCCCAAAAGAGGCGCCCACCTCGTTAAAAATAAGTTTTCACGGTCAGCACAAGGCAGACATGTGAAAACAACAACACAGCTACGCATTTCTAACGTCAATACCTACTATCAATAAGTCGACATGGGCAGAGAGGACCCGAAAAGCAGGGACCAGATCACTAGCTTCACGTCACGCTGCCGAAGCTAACAGCTCGCGAGCCGAGCCTGACGGTCCAATTTCCATGTTTTGGCTGCATATTTTGCGACTTTGCTGATGTAGAGCAGCCGTATGATTCAAGTCGGCGCCGAGGGAGGGGGCCTAACGCAAAATGAGTTGACGATGTTGACGAGAAAGCACCCACACGCGCCGCAAAGATCCTGGCCGCAGATCCCGGGATGGCGGCTTTGTGAAGTGGCCCGATGCGTGTGTAAAGTTGCCCAATCCGGCATCTCGGCGCCGAGGCTCTACACCCACATGGCGGTCGAACTTCTCCAAATCTCCACTCTCCTAAAAGGCAAATAAGGAGCCGAGCTCCTTTCACCATGAGCTGAATTGTCTTGGTCCCCCCGTCCCCTTGCGAACCACATCCTCGCATACTTACAGACCTCGTCTCCGACCTACTCGTCTTCGTTTCTCGGTGTTGTTTTGCTTCTCAGCCTGCATTTTCATCTCATCCTCTGCGAGCCGAGAAGATGACTGCTGATAAGCCCGCGCCCAGTCCTACTGGTGTTGGTGCTGGGTCCCGAACCCACAAGTCCTGCGATGCTTGCAAGTCACGCAAGGTCCGCTGTCCTAGTACGTGACTCGGGAGAGCTGATTGCCATTCCTATTCCTCATTCACGAACTGACGAGTTGATTTTATCCATAGGTAACGGCCCGCCCGGACCTTGCGCGAATTGTATTGTGAGTGAAGCCAAATGGATTCTCTCTCCTGACAAGACGTGCCTGTTTACTCACAAGCTTTGAACCTGTAAGCGTCGAAAAGAAGAGTGTCGCTTCAGTGTGAAAAGGCTAGCCCACAGGCGCAACGGTAAGCACTGGCAACTAAACACCCACCATACCACGTTTACACTCTTTTGAGGAGCACATCAAGCACAACAACTCCGGTCGATTTTCTGTGGGAAAGGATTTCAAAGTACTAAGTAAACTATCAGTTGCCGGACAGCTTCTGCCAACGAATTATTCGCCATCGAGCAATCGACCACCCAGTCTCCCAGACGCCAAAGCCGTGCTAGACTTGTCGACATCAGATGGAGAGACCAAGCCACTCGTCCTCCCTGATCGCACGTCGCCAAAGTCTCCTCCCCACCGCATTCAAGAACTCCACGTCGATCGCGTCCTAGCACGAGCACAGAGGCCAAAGACCTCTACTGGAAGAGGCCAGGAGGAAACCATGTTTGTACCAGTAAGCACCACAAGCCAAAATTTAAAGCAATTGTTTGCAGATGTGAGTGAACTGTAAGCTGACAGGAATCTCACAGCGCAATGGCATATTTGGTATTGAAGCGCCACATGCCCTCAGTGGCCTGCACGTACTGACAGATCAAGGGGGCCGGAACAGCCTCACGTTCTTCTCCGACAACAGGCTACTGTCCCTGTCGACGCGCCTTCAGAATCAAAAAGTGAACGAGCTCGTTGGACGAATTTCCGTCATTGTCAATGGACGTCTCCGTCGCACCGACTCAACAACGACGAATCCCCGGAGGACGCAGCCTCCCGATATGGGGACCGACAGAGCGCGAGCCGCCCTGTACATCCGCCGTAATTATTTGCCATTCTCCCTTCTGTAACCCCCCCTTGGAGTTGGCGAAAGCTGATCATGATCAGTCTACTTTGAGCGAGTGCATCCCATGTTCCCATTTCTTGACCGGACGACTTTCGAGACTACAGTGTCAAGTCCCAACTTCCCAAATCTCCTCGAACGCAGCAAGCCATGGTGTTGTCTCTACCACAGCGTCCTTGCCCTAGGGTCCCAGTATGCTGATGGGGGGACATTCGAGCCTGGTAAGGGAGAGTCGTGGCGGCTGTTCTCTGTCAGTTTGAGCGGCTTCTCGGAGCTCCTGCTGCTTCCTGATTCTCTCACCACCTTGCAGGCATTGACAGCCATGTCTGTCTATGGCTTAGGGATCTCGGGCTTGGCTGTTGAGCCTGTCATCATGTCAGAGGCGGCAAGACGGGCTCAGATGATGTCCAGTCATAGCTTTACTGGTCCAACGGCTCACGCTTACCAGAAGTCTTTCTGGATTCTATATGCGGTTGAGAAAATCACCAGCTTCCACTTTGGGAGAAGTTCCGTACGTGCTTGGAATTTCCCTCTCCTTACCACGATAACGTCATACTATGATGGATGCACACCTCTTGTTTACTTGCTCTGCACTGCTGACAGCGACAAGGGGTTCGTCGATAGCGACATATCTTGCCCCATCCCCGTCGTCCCCGAAGCAACGTCGGGGGACTTTAGCTGGTTCCTGCACCTAGTGCGTTTCGCTCGCCTCCTTTCTCGAGCATATACATCACTCTTCTCGGTCGGCGTGTCGGGCAACTCCGACTCGTACTATCTCGACGTGATTGACCAATTAAACGGTGAACTCGAAGAATGGAGAGCATCTCTGCCAGACAATGGCTTCCGCCCGGGTGGAATTCTACGCCCTCAAACTGTATCGGGTCCTAATGCGAGATCGCTCGCTCTCATTCTTCATTATCTTTACTACAGCATGTTACTGACTCTCGCGAGAACTACGCTGTGCTACCTGCCTGTCCCTGAGACGCCGGCGGTGACAGCGACAAAGGACGACAAGATGAAGACCATTTTGAATGCATCACGGGCCATATTGGAGCTGACTACGATGATTGAAGTTGAGCCATACACAGTCACATGGTAAGTAGGGAGCGAACTTCGAACTACACGTTTTCCCGCCGTTATCATCAGATCGGTCCTGACAGCCCTTAAGGGTCCTTGCCGGAATCCCTATTACAGCACTTTTTGTCTTATTTGACCTTGTGATACATGATCCTCGGCAGCCAGATACAGGCACCAACCTGGCCCTGCTCGACATGGTTGCTGGTCACTTCAGTCGGATAGAGTATGCCAGCGGCGGCACCGTGCCCGGTTCTCTGATAGCCGAGTTCGCCAAGATTGCGCGAGACTACGTGAACGAGATCCAGCATGCCGAGGCTGGTTTGACGAATCCTGCGAGACCTCATGCACCCACAAATCCTTCCGCCATGCAAATGGTACAGCAATCGTCAGAGCTTGATACCAGAAACAACAAGCAAATAGACAGACCAACTCAGATGACTCTGGATCTATCGGATGTAAGTTCTCGGCCTTACAAGGCCTACCACCCATCAAGAAAAAAGTGTCTAATCATCATTTGCGTTGAAAGACTCTGCCGAGGGAGGCCATGATGTCTGGTCCGATGCAGCAACCAGGATACACCGACTTTGCGTTCGACAGCGGGATGGGCCAGGTATCTCCTAGTGCGCTCATGGGAACCGACGTGATGGGAATCTTTAATTATTTCCTGCCCGATCTGGACCCGATGTTTTACCAGGGTATGACGCAGGAGTACGATCTGCTACCACAGCAGCATGGAGGGACCGTTCAGAGCATGGACAAGTGAGATGATGCGGACGGGGTCCAATTCTTAATCTCCGTCCGTTTGCCAGGCCGGATGCAGCATGACATAACCTTATTTTTGGAGCTATTATAATGCGTGCCCCCAACGGATACTAGCAGCTACCTTAGTTGCTATGCCCGGCAGTCGAGATCGTTGCTAGGCATAATGACGAAATGCTTATGAAGAACAAAATCGAACGTTCGCTGGAGCAACCTTCCAGAATGGAAAAGCAGGTAAGACTGCATGTGTGTGTGTGTGAGTGGGAGATCACTTGTTCTTCGGTGGCAGTGAGCTCCGGGATCCCGGGCTTCGCTCCGGTCCGCTGCAAGGATCAGCCGGGTCTCGGACGGTCCAATGCAGCCTAGCGTCTCCTCCAAAGTCCGTTTGGTGGATCCCCAAATGTCGTGGCCCCCTGTCTTTTTTCCCGCAGAAAAGCGGCACGTTTAAAAGAGTGTTGCCGCCAACAGAGCAGAGCTCGGAAGAGAAACATATCATGCGATGAACGACAACAACTTACACACTTCTCTGATCTCTAACGAGCCCCATATTCTCATCTGTAGATCTTGATGGCATCCGAAAGCCCAGCTTCGCAGGCGAGTACTCCGGCAGGCGACAAACCACGCAACGTCTTGGCCTGCGTCTTTTGTCACCAGCGCAAAATCAAGTGCGACCGAAAGTCCCCCTGCGCCAACTGCATAAAGGTTGGTTTGTCATCATCTCACTCACCCTTCAGCCGATGGACCCGAGGTCTACGCACACCCACACCGAGGCGCAACGCATACTCACTGATGTGATCACGATAGTCTGATCAACCGTGCGTGCCATCGACGCGAGCACCACCAGGAGCTGGTAGAAGACGCGTGGTGAAGGACCTGTTGGAGAGATTGAATCAGTGTGAGAGTCTTCTGAGCCAGGTGGCTCCGCGCGATGCCGATGGCCGCCCCGTAAATCCCGATACGCCGGGTTCCTCACGCGATGTGGCGGACAGCCCGGCAATGTCCCACATAAGCTACGAAGAAGCCCGGAAACAACCCAGCTCGAGACCGAATGGCAAGATTGTCTGCGATGAAGGTCGACCAACATTTATGGAAAATCCGTTTCGCGGTAATGTTCTTGACCACGTAAGTGCACTGTTTTTCGATCAAACGATAAGTCCCACCCAGTAAAGATCTAAGTGGAATCTAGCTCCAATTCTCCAAGCTCAGTCTTGAAGACAATGACACCGAGCAATCAACGAACCCGTCTGGTTCTACCAGCGTCTCAGAACGCGGCGACTCAATTCACCAAAAGTCTATGGACTTTGACATATTAGCCCTGGGACCAGTCGAAGTTCTGCGCCTGTGGCAGGTATTTCTAGAACGAGTCAACCCTATGATCAAGGTCATTCACGTCCCTAGCCTGGAACCTTTAGTCTTTGAAGCAGCAACAGACCGCTTCAACCTGAACCCCGACCTTGAGGCCCTGCTCTGTTCCATCAACGTTGTTGCAATCATGGCCTTGTCGGAAGCGGAATCAATCCAGATGCTCAAGCTCGAAAAAGCAAGAGCATTGCGAAATTCGATGTCTGCACTGAAAAAAGCGATGTCCAAAGTGGACTTTTTACGAAAGTACAATATGACCACTTTGCAGTGCTTAGTGCTATATCTGGTAAGACGTCTGTTCCACACAAGCATGACTCTGATCTGACTGCAGGCTAGGTCTCTCTCCAGGGTCAATTCGATCGCCATGCCGCGTGGGTGTTGACCGGCATGCTAGTCAGGATAGCGCAGAGGATGGGCCTCCATCGCGACGGAGAACTCATAGGTCTTCAACCATTCGAGACCGAGATGCGCCGCCGAATCTGGTGGCAAATCATCATGCTAGAAACAAAATACGCCGTCCTCGCAGGCTTCGGCGACACGCTCCTCCCGCCTAACTGGGACACCAAACTCCCATCGAACGTCAACGACGCCGACTTACTACCCGGCTCAACAGAGCCGGTCAAGTCTCGCGACGGAGCAACCGAGATGGCATTCTGCCTCATGCTCTACGAATCACGCGCCTTCTTCTGCGACAATCCCATGCCGGAGTTCGAATCAGTCATCCTCAGCGGGGACAAAATCAGCGCGGAGAACTCGAGGAAATTCTCTGGTCAACCACATGTCCTCGACAGGTATCGACTCGCGTTGGACCAATACGATGAGAGACTAGCTGTGGCCGAACGACGGTTCTGCAACCCGACGGCTGGCGGCATACATCTCGTTGCGAGTAAGATCCGGTCTTTTACGGCGCAGAGGATGCGCGACATGATCATGCACGCGCGAGAGCCATGGGACGAGAACAAAGACGGTGGGGCGAGCCAGCAATCCTTCTTCAGAGCATGGGTCATCTCCTTCGAGAGCGACGTTAGCTGGTACGACACGATCGACGATAAGTTCACCTGGTACCTAAAACTCCACTTCCAATCCGATGCTTTCTCCGTCATGATTGAGCTCCTGCAGTGGCAGTCCGTCGGAACACTGGTTGACAGGGCATGGAAGGCCATCGACCGGCTCTATCACCACCACCCGGAGATGTACGACTTGACCAGGAAGGACAACTTGCTGCGGGCGGAGAACTTGCTTGCAGGGTGGGCAAGACGGGAGCTTGCGTTCCGAAATCTAGGCATGTCGTGCGACACGCCGCTCGTTGTGGCACGGTTCCGGAGTAGCGAAGTTTTCAAGCAGAGACAGCTCGGCGGCCTGCCAGTTGAGCAGTGGCCGGCGCCGACGCCGGATACCGCGCTGTTCTCTGACATGAGTCCATCCGACTTTGAGACGTTTGACGGCGGGATGCCTGGAGATACGCATGGTCCTAACTTTAGTCTTTGGGGTGGAGGTGGTCCTGGACAACATGCTCTATGATGAAGGCCCAGCTAGTTTGTAGGGGGTAAAGGGCTGGGGGAAAGGGGGTTGTGCGTTTCAAGCACTCGACCATGACTTAATGACACTGAAGACGGCTCAAGGGTAGACTATACCCAACACGGAGTTTATCCCTAGTCTTTAGGGCTCTTGGAATACCTATATATCACCTCTCAAAATTTACTGCTAGACTTTTGGTACTCGCTTTGGCCTAGCCTATCGAGATGCTCTCGCAAATTTATGCGCGGGCTTCACGCGCTACTGGTTTCAAGTAGACATTCAGCGGAATTCTATCCCACAAACCAAATGCTCTTTGCCTCTGAATCCAGGACCCGTTTCCTTCGGCCAGTTGAAGATCAAAGTCAAACACGATTCGGGCTAAGATCAACCTCATCTCTGCATACGCGAGACTGTTTCGCGTAGGTTTCAACGTCAGCGGCGGCAAGCAATGGTTCAATGGACATATGAGGAGCTCTTACTTCTTTCCAATGCAGTTGCGCGGGCCAACGCTGAATGCTTGAAGTGCATCCAAATGGTTGTGTTCCTCTTTGTTGGTCTCCAGGAAGCGCTCCGGCCTGAACTCCCAAGGCTTGGTCCAATTATCTGGACTATGATTTGCGGACCATTGTTGGATCTCGACGAAGGTCTTGAAGGGAAGCCTAGATTAGTCACCTGATAGGAATCTCGAAAAGGAGAGGTGGTGCGCAAGGCTACTTACTCCTTGAGGTACATGCTCTGCGCCAATCTGACACCCAAACTCCGGCACCTCTCGAATGAGGTTTGACGTCACTGGAGGATACATGCGCAAAGCTTCATTGAGAACAGCAAGCATGTATGGCAACTTGCTCACTGAGTTGATGGTGATCTCGCTAGAATCGGTAAAGCTAGATCGGACCTCTTCGTTGAGTTTTTGCAGGGCCTTGGGATTTCTCAACAGAAGATATGTCGTGCCGGCCAGAGTTGTAGCAGTAGTTTCCGAACCAGCGAGGACGAGTATGAGACCATTAGCTGATAGCTGTTCAAACGAGAGGTTCTGTGCACACAAAGTTAGCGTAGATTCACCCCCTCGAGGAGTGGCTTTGGGGGTCCACATGCCCATTCTTCTTTCTTCCTTAAGAGTCCTTCGAACAAATCCTTCCGATCAGGATCCATATCTAGACGCGTTTGCATCATCTTGTCCGTGCTCTCACGTAACTGCATCATTGCAGCAAGACCACCGATCCGGAAGAGGCCTTGGACAACAGGATCAAGGCCGATATACTTCATCGCTGTCATGATAGCATTGTATCGGATAGTCTTGAAGATGAAGGCAATCCAGGGGTGGTAGTCTGAACGATCGAGACAGCCAAAAGATTGCGCAAAGATTAGGTCGCCGGCAATATCGAACGTTGTCCAATTATACCAAGCCTCAACATTGATTGGCGCTTCTTCCCCGTCGCAGTTCTCATGCAAGCGAGAAATCAGTTTATCGACGTACTTCATGATAATGCCTTCTTGCGCTCGCATTGAGCTATCCGAGAAGCCATGAGATAGCGCCCGCCGGTACCGCTGGTGCTCCTCACGCTCGGCATTGATGATGCTCGTGGGCAAATTCTTGATCGTCGTTGAGAAGAGCTGCGACTTGGGGATCTCGTTTTCGGCCAGCTCTTTCCCGATTTGGAAGCCGTAAATATCTTTCCAGGCCGTCACATCGGTGAAGGACAGGTGATTTGGGCTGATTCGGACTATGGGGCCATATCGGTCGTGGAGGTGCTGGGTTCGAAAGGCCTGATAGCCTGTGGCATGTTGCCAGGCCCAGATTAGAGGCGAAGCGCGTTGGAGGACAGGCCCTGGGAACCTTCGTAGGGGATGGAGGAAGAGGTTGTAGCCGGCTAGGAGGAGTTGCCAGAGGACGGCCTGGCAAGTTAGCTATGTTATCCTTCACTGAGATCATCTACTCTAATCTTGTGTAGGAACGCCAGTCACCTACTGTACCAAAGGCAATAGCCAGAATATGAGAAGGATGCTCAGAGAGAATGGACAAAACACCCGCCATTTCCGTAGTCAAGTCTGGAAGGGTTTGCTTCTCAAGTTCTGTGATAATCTTCTTGCATCAACGAGAAACATCAACCCCGCGTTGGCGTTGACGCGTCGTTTATGTAGATTCATCCCGAGTGCGAGCCTTTCCGAGCTCCCCCCTGGCGACAAACATGTTCGCTTCTTGCCCATTGCACACACCACTTGGTGCTGCGTCAAACAGTCAGTCACCTTCCATTGAGGGGACGGGCTCTGCCCTGGGCGCGAGAAGTTTGAGGTCATCGGACGGTTGTTTCAATACCACGTTCCTTGTG